CTTTTAACTATTCCAGAAATATACCTCAGCTGATTGAGTACAAGTGGTCCATCAACCTTGTTGGGAACACGTTCATAGTTCGGCACCACACATCGAATGAAGTGCGCTGATGACGAGGACAATGTATCCAGAAGACTGCTGAGCTGATTCTGAAATAAGATATGGTCATACACCCTTTACCGTGTGCCACTATGTGAAACTGATGCGCATTCCAATTTTCACTAGAGTCCTAAATGCAAGAGGTATGCTTGACACATCACGATGGGTTTGTTGCTCACCCTATTTCTTCCCGATAGCCAAAGTTGTCCGATTCTGAACCCTAAGGGTGGCGTTTATGGCTTAGCACAACCAGGCATCGGCACGCCATAGAGGTCAGAAAACTCAGCCAACATCAAATCCCCCCAACCACTCCTTCTTCTAGATTTCCTGAATACGCAGAATACTAACTGCTTCGCATGCTCCGCCCGGATTAGAACCTCGGTTTTTAGGATAATTTTTTAGTACAGCTATTTTTCAGCACAACCCATACCATTCTTCACATGCTCACATATGCTCAGTACTCAGTGTCGCATCATTCCTTCTTTTCTGGAGGGATATTTTCACCTGCCGTTGGTATTTCTAGGTTCCCCTTCTTTTTCATTTTTTTTGCCTCTTTTCATTCACGTAGAAGGGAGTTGTCAACATATATCGAAAGTTGCCAAGCCTAACTACTACGCCCACTAAGGGCGGTGTGAGAATTTGCGAGGTTCGCAGGCGATAGAGCGTTTCGCTAGCCACTTGAGGAGCACCGATGTGCAAGCGAACTAGCGACTAAATTCTCTGGTGCATCGCTCGTACATCACAAGTTTCCGCGATTCCGTGGTCGCTTCGGATTGCAAATTCTTGCAACGGCTCCTCTGATAACGCAGTAAAACCCTCCCCATGGTAATAAATTCAAAAATCACGAAGACCTCGAACGGTCCCGGAATTGCTGCTTCATTATAATTGGGTTTAGATAGGTTCAATTTAGGATACATGATGCCAAACACACTCGTTGTTTCGCTGACGCTTTGCAGAGATTTCATGTCATAAAATCTATGAATTCCACATATTCTCCCTTTCAAAAAGCCGAGAAGAGTGTCGGGTGCAGACCATACACCACAAGTGACGACGGCCTCCAAGTAAATCTGGTTAGTAGTGGTTCATAGTGATAGCTGATTTTTGGTAAATGATAGTTGTAATCA